ACACACACACACACACACACACACACACACACACACACATTCTTACATAATACACACACGTTCTTGCACATGCACATACACACACATAGTGCCTTGTCTTTGTAACCAAGAGGGGTCTTACGAGGGGAGGTGCTTTTGCTGTGATGTGTATTGTAACAGTTTCTTAATAAATAGCTACGGGGACAGCTGCTCTTTTGAAGGACTTTGGGCTGGAGACAGGTTAGGAGCGTGAGCTCCAAGAGCTGGTTCTTGACCAAAGACTTCCCTTGCTAGCAAGTAAAAGATGTTTGTCTTGTTTTTGTCGTTAACGAGAATAAGTTTCTAAACTAGCGGGGCTTGTGGAAACACAGACCCAACAGACTCACAGTTTGTAAAATATTGTTTTCAAATTTTGTGTGTTGGTAAATACCAGTAACATCTCAAGCTGATTTAATTTTGGTAGAAATCACGTCAAGGTCAAGGTCACACCAAATGTGCAACTCAGGAAAAATTTTATATTATTATTAATATTTTTATGGAATGTCTTCAAACTTCACAGCAATATACTAAACCTCGGGGGAAGTGGGTACCTAGGTTGTCTAAGCGTTTGACCTTGACCTTCTTTATAACCAGCAAAGGTTAGGAGATACTGGGAGAGGTCAGACTAGAGAAGGTAAAAAGAAAACAAAAACAGACAAAGAGACTCACATGGTAACCTTAACCATGTATCAAGTTCCTGCTGGAGGAGGAGGTGGCAACAAAACGATATGACCAGGACATGTGATGAGTACTATCACCTTGTGTTTTACTATGTTTTTTTTCTCTATATCACATACAGAGGCTCTTTGACCCTCTGTATGTGATATATCTGTTGTCAAAGCTTACCTGGGTCATTTCCAAGATTTCCTTATTTCACAACTCCAGGTTGTGGCATAGGTTGTACGACAAAACTTTATTAACCTCTGGACCTAAGCCTAAATAATCCAGATGGCGTGACTTTCCAGAGATCTCCTTCTGGAGCCAGTTCTTTTCACACACATGACAGCAGGCCACAGCATGTTTTGTGCGTATAAGTCATTTCTTTCCAATTTTCTGGAAACTTAGGCTTGTTTTTGCATGCTCTGTTGTCTGTTTGCTTGAATCCTGTTACATACCTTAAGAGTTTTTGTCTCCCATAAACTAAAAGGTTATTGCTGTTCATCTAAACCTTGTGTCAAAGGCCTTTTTTACAGCAGTCAGTATAATTTGCTGCAGTCGAAAAAGCACTAGTGTGGCCAATAATGACAACAATGGGTCTGTTCTATTCAGATGTCTCAGTAAAGCAGGGCAGTGTGACAGTGAGCCAGCACAAACAGCATCTGGAAGTCAGCTATCATTATTATTATGTATAACAAAATAACTACTACTTTAAGTACACTGAACAAAAATATAAACGCAACACTTTTGTTTTTGCTCCCATTTTTCATGAGCTGAACTTACAGATCTGAAACATTTTCTACAAACACAAAGGACCCATTACTATCAAATATTGTTCACAAATCTGTCTAAATCTGTGTTAGTGAGAACTTCTCGTTTGCCGAGATAATCCATCCCACCTCACAGGTGTGGCATGTCGAGGTGCTGATTAGACAGCATGAACATTGCACAGGTGTGCCTTAGACTGCCCACAATAAAAGGCCACTCTGAAATATGCAGTTTGATCACACAGCACAATGCTACAGATGTCACAGCTTTTGAGGGAGCATGCAATTGGCATGCTGACTGCAGGAATGTCTACCAGAACAGTTGCCTGTGAAATGAATGTTCATTTCTCTGCCATAAGCCATCTTCAAAGGCGTTTAAGAGAATTTGGCTGTACATCCAACCAGCCTCACAATTGCAGACCACATGTAACCACACCAGCCCAGGACCTCCACATCCAGCATGTTCACCTCCAGGATGGTCGACCAGGTGGAGACCAGCCACACAGACAGCTGCAGCAATATTCGGTTTGCATTAAAGAATTTCTGCAAAAACTGTCAGAAACCGTGTCAGGGAAGCTCATCTCTCGTGGTCCTCACCGGGGTCTAGACCTGACTGCAGTTCATCACATTAACCAACTTGAGTGGACAAATGCTCACATTCAATGGCATCTGGCACGTTGGAGAGGTGTTCTGTTGACAGATGTTTTTACTGTTCAGGACAGATGGCAGACAGCTTGTGTTGCGTCATGTGGATGAGCAGTTTGCTGATGTCAGCGTTGTGGATTGAGTGGCCCATGGTGGCGGTGGGGTTATGGACAATGAACACGAGTGCATTTTATTGTTGGCATTTTGAATGCACAGAGATACCGTGTTGAGATCCTGAGGACCATAGTTGTGCCATTTATCCATGACCATAACCTCCTGTTACAACATGATAATGCACAGCCCCATATTGCAAGGATCTGTACACAATTCCCTGGAAGCTGAAAACATCCCAGTTCTTGCATGGCCAGCATACTCACCAGACATGTCACCCATTGAGCATGTTTGGGACGCTCGGCTCGGCGTATATGACAGCGTGTTCCACTTCCTGCCAATATTCAGCAACTTTGCACAACTATTGAAGATGAGTGGACAAACATTCCACTGCCCACAATCAACAACCTGATCAACTCTATGCCCATTGCACACCATTTGCCTCACAAGGTGCAA